TGTTTCCCACTTTTATACAACTTTAAGCAAGAAACGCGATGAATTTCTCAATGAAATGTACGTCGTTGACTTTGATCCAACACAAAGTTGAGTTTTGAAATCGGAAAATAACCACAGAAATACGAAAGCTGCGATCAATCAGTGACCACTGAAGCTAATTCACTAAAAATTGATGTTTGGATATGACTATGTGTATCTTGGTACAATTATTGCCCTTGGAGCACAAAAATACAATACATGTATTGAAATTAAAAAAAAAAAAAACTTAACCAACTAAAAATTACTCAGATATTTCGATAACTAGAGACGATAATAATACTCCGAGATAATGCTTACAACAACCTCAACGAGAAATAAGATTATTTTAAAATTTTCAGAAAATGGGCGTGGCACTGATCACTTATGACTACATAAGTGTGTCGGAGTAATCGCTCTATAGATTTCTACCAATTATTTCATTAGACCTAACTTAGCATATATAAGCATAATGGTAGTTTACAGAAAGGTGCGCCGGGTATATAAAGTTCGGTTTCGCCCGAAGTTAGACTTCCTTACTTTTTTTTACCCACCAACCTATAAATTTTAGAGGAAAATCCCAAAACCGACAACAATGTATATAATAAGCAGGGCAGAAACCCCCCTTCCCCCCAAAAAAAACCTGAACACGTTTAGTTTGGCGAGGGGATGAAAGGGGGCAGATAGAAGAAAATGGGAGAGGGGTAGGTGTGTATTTAAACCGATCCGACACTCCGTAGTTAATTTTTTTAATTATCAAAGGAACAAACAAACTAAAAACTAGACTGCCGGTTTTTGACCTGGCAACCCCTGATAATAAGAGTTGCATATTATCAAGTTTTAGCTAGTATATATTAGACTGGTATAATTACATATTTTTGTGGAGATGTGATCCAGAAGTTGTCCAAAGAATGGAAATTCGATTCAAAATCTATTTTCTTGCACGTTTGTCAACAGTTACAAATGGTTTTATTTCGACAAAAGCTTATCGCCACTCGTCACCCCATTCCGGTTGACCTTTCGTATTTGTCAATAAATCAAGGACTGTCATAGTTAGACTAAGCAAATAATCTACTTAAAAAAGTCTAATTCATTTTGGTAAAGACTGCTGCAAATAAGCTGTCTTTTTCTACAAACCAACCGGAAGCACACTGAACCAATATTTTTTTTTACAGTATCAACAAAAACATAATTTTAAATATTTTGGCATTGACATGCAGGTTATCGCAAAGCAAATTCTGGCAGTAAATTCAGATAAGCCAGTAAAATAAATATTAGAAAAGTATTATAATTAGCACGAAAGTGTCCAGCATTGACTTATAAACTAAATCAAAAATTTTATTTTAATATTAAAAAAAAAAAAAAATTAATTATACTGCATAACGCATTGGCCCGAGCCTTCGCTTACGTCGTGAGGCCTCTCCAATAAGAAGCCAAATTCGAGCTTCCTACATAATATTTTTTAATTATGAAAGGTTTTAGGCGTTATACTTTATTGAAAATATATGTATATATCTTACAAAAAATTTTTATTTTATGGCAATTAAAATTTAATTTAGACGGGTAGGATTTGGGATAATTGGAGTTTTAACGATATATTTTGGTCGGTTCGAATCGTTTCTTTTTTACTTTGAACTTGGGTTTCGGTTGGTAACAATCCAAAAATAAAAGAAGTAGTCAAAATTTCTCTATTAAAAATTGGGCGAAACAAACCTTAAGTGTTCAGTTAATAATAATAATAATTTCACAATAAATATGTTAGTGTTTGGCCGAGCTTCTTGTTCAATTTGTGGCGTACGCCTTTATGTTATCACACAAAGGTGTGGACCTACAGTTATAAACTTCTTTTGCAGCGCTGCCTAATGTACATACATACATATGTGTGCATCTTTTGAATTGGTTTCAAAAGCTTGGCTTAATGAGCCTAGAAACAGTTGTAGCGAGTAACATACATACTCGTAGAATTGTAACACTTCTATAATCTTTTGCTTGGTTTTATCTGAAAGGAATAGTGTAATACAAGCAGCAGTGGCGCGATGGTGGCAGCGTATCCAACGCAAAACAGTCACTTCAGAGCTCCACCAACGCCCCCCCTGCCCAAGCGCAAGCAGCCATTACCCGTATCAAGCCAAGAATGATAGAATTGCAGTCTGCTACTAAACTCGATCACAGCTCACCACATAAATACATACGTCGTACATACACAAGTTTTTTTAAATACGATTAATCGTATAAAGCTTTAGTTTGTATTCCGGAAATATAATATATGCGAACACACCAACAAACACACGTACATATGTATGTATGTATGTATGTATGTACTCATAGTTGCGAGTTTGTCACTCTACATTTGCTGCTTTGTGATTATGCATTGTTTTTTCTTTGCAAGCATCGTCTTTAAATGCAGAAAAAAATCAGAAAAATGTAGTGCAATATTGCTACGAAGTGACCTAATTTTGCTGCAGAGTTCCTCACCACTTTCTTCATCTACGGTCTTGAATGTGGTATTTGCTTTGCTATTTTTCTTTAACTACTTTCCGCTATCTATTCTATGTACAATTGTATGTACATATATATGCACATATACATATATGAGCAAACATATAAGATTACATCTCCACGACACTTTTTTTTTATGCTTGTAATTTATCAAATTTAACCGTCTACTGATTTCTTTTTACTAAGAGTTTAATGATAAAGGGCCCTTTACTTCGCTTGCAGCTGGTACTGAATGAGAGTGCCAGTATTTAGAAATTTTTATAATAACTTATTATCTCCTGAGCATGTTTGTACATACAGAAAAATTTAAAAATTCTGTTTTAATTTTTTTTTTTTTGTTTTAAGCAACAGTTCGTTCAATTAAAGAATCCCG